AGAGGTAGCAATAGGCGTGTTAGATGCCTGGACTCCAACTGGAACTGCTGGTGATAACTCGGTGGCAACTCGCGTAGGTTCTCTGGCTACACCACGTGCGCGTCCTCGGCCTCTACCCCGGCCCCTGCCTCTAACGGCTGTAGTAGGGGGAGCGGATGTCTGATCATCTCGGGTAGCGTGTGTCCTCGCCATCTGTGAGAGAATAGAAGACATAAGTTTAGAATTGTGATATCAAATCTCGCATGAAAAGTAAATCAAATGAAGTGGAATTTTCCTAACAGTTACATAGCCTCGTAGATAAGTACAGACATCTCCGTACCGATCAACGAGACTCTATTAAACAGTCTTGTGATTCATGACTCCTATGAACCTAGAGCTCTGATACCAACTTGTCACGACCCCGGTTCGCCCTTCGTGAACCATCATGATGGCACCTAGTCTCTACGACTAGTTAAGCCTAAAATGCGGAAGATAAACCAAATTTGCGGAAGAAAAGAAAGCAACCTTAAATAGAAATAATGTAATAAAACAACATTTAAAAGTGGCACTCAGCATACACAGTACCAACTCTCATAAACTAATACAGTTTTCCAAAAACCCCGAAAAACATGATTCACAAGCTAATGATACTATATAGTACTCTAACTCCAGAATAGTCTAAAACAAGGTAAATACAGAAGGGTTGTAACTACAAGAGAGAATAGAGAGAGACTCCTCGGTCTGCGGATGCGGAAAATATACCTCGAAGTTTGCGAAGGGTTGCCTCGCCTCAAGAATGGTAAGTCTGCGTCGAAGTACCTAGATTTGCACATGAAAAACATGCGCAGAAAGGGCATGAGTACACCAAAGTGGTACTTAGTAAGTGCCAAGCCTAACCTCGGTCGGGTAGTGACGAGGAAGGTTAGGGCCCTACTGAGATTAAATAAAATATAAGGGATGACAGAATAAGACAAGCAATACGGTTGAAAGCAGACAATAAGAATTTAATACAGGATAATAAGAAATAAAATAACTAGAACAGAGATGAAAACAATCACAAGGAAATGCCACTCTTCGCAAGGATAACAACCGGAGATCTCTCAGTATCCCGAAGATCTCTTAGTACCCTCAATATATGCCAGGGATCTCTTGGTATCCCGAGGATCTCTTGGTACCCTCAATATATGCTAGGGATCTCTTGGTACCCCGAGGATCTCTTGGTATCCTCAATATACGTGCCAGGGATCTCTCGGTATCCCGCACCTTAGCTTAAATCATAAATACGTACAGGGGATCTCCCGGGATGCCGTCCCGTAGTCCCAAAGTAAAACACATAGCCGGAACACAAAGAATACTCAATTAAGATCAATTTCGTGCCAAGTAAAAACAAGTAATTCTAACCTAACATGCTTCACATAATACAATTAAGGCAGTTTAAGCAATTAAGTCAATTAAACATGCTTTTTCTAAGTTAACAACAGGTTTAAATTGCAAGTAGTATAAAACAAGAAAAAGGAACACAATTGAAATTACTTAAGGAAAATCAGATTTCCAACAATTAGCTCAAGCACGCACTCGTCACCTCAGGTACAAGGCATTTCAATTATCAAATATACCAAATCCTAAGGGTAAGGTCCCCCACACAAGGTTAGGCAAGCCACATACCTCGAAGCAGCTCAAAATCAACCCAAAACCACATCTTTGTCACGAGTACTCGACTCCAAATGACCCAAATCTATTCAATTCAATTGCATAAAGTAAATAACACTTAAAGTAACTGATTCTACAATTAAATTCTAAGCTAATACGCGAAATTAGGTAAAATGACCAAAATGCCCCTCAGGCACACATCTCGGAATCGGGTGAAATTTACAGTTTCAGAATTCTCATACTCTCACAAGTCTATAAATAACAAGAACACTGAAATCGGAGTTCAAATGACCCCTCAAATATCCATTTTAAGGTCTCTTAATCTCAAGCCCTAATTACCCATTTTCCCCAAATATTTTCACTACTAATTAGGTCTTTAATCACATATATACGAACTAGTAAGTATTACCTACATGGGGCAGCTCTCCCTTCTCTCTAGGAAGACAATGAATAGTAATTCCATCACTATTCATTAGTCAAAATCCTGGCTTCCGGCAAGGTAACACCACAAGATTGATCTTAAAAGAACCCCCTTCTCTTTGTGAACACTCTCCTTTTGATTTTATCCTAAATCTTGATTTCTTTTGTTCGAAGTTACTGTAGCATCGAGTGTTCATTAGTAAGCATTAACGTTACTGCTGTAACGTGAAGTGAAAGGATTGTTGAAGAATAACTTGGATACTTTGCTTCATTCGTGAATCACAATTGTACAACTAAAAGCAACAGATCTTAAAACTTTGTTGAATTACTGTAGCATCGACAAAAGCTGCTGTGTAATTTTTTATGTAATTAAGGTGGACAACATCTAGGTTTTTTAGAGAAGAAACACAGCAGCTACGTTGAGGTCATTCATGGCCTCTAAGGCCGGCGACCAGTCACCTCCAATGGCTGGTCAGCCCTCCCAAGCATCCCCCTCCGTCCCTAACAATACCACAACAATACCCAAGCCTCTAGATTATTCAAATATTCTGAAACCAGCCACGATCAATGCACCAGTTCAAGGACAATATACTGTCGAGCCTATTCCAATGTGTCGACCAGTTTTATTACAAGGACAACCCATGGTACGTTTCACTGAAGCTGAGGTAGATCGAATGAACAAGATTGAAAATCTGCAATATGCTGTGGTGTGCAGATTTTCATACTGATGGCCTAAGCTTAATGAACTACGTCGAATTATCCAGATTCAATGTGGAATTAAAGGCGAGTGTACTATTGGACACCTTCGTGACAGGCATGTGTTAATATGATTGACGTTATGGAGGGATTTTATCGAATTCTCATCGAAGAGTGTGTTTTATGTGAAAGACAAGACTGGACAGGAATACCAATTGCGAACTTTGATTTATGATGCTAAATTCAAAGCTGGAGAGGAAACACCTAAGGTAATGGCATGGATCTCATTTCCAAATCTACTACCAACATATTTTGTGAAAGAATGTCTTTTCTTGTTGGCCTCAGCTGTGGGAAAGCCACATCATCTTGATTTGGCTACCATTAATAAGACAAGGCCAAGTTGTGCACGAGTTAATGTTTTAATTGACCTGCTCAATGATCTTCCTACGAAAGTGCGTATGGATATCGTGAATGAGGCAACTGGAGGTGTGAGGACTGAATGGATGAACATCAAATATGATTACCTGCCCAAATACTATAAAGAATACAGATTACAAGGTCATGATATGATTGAATGCTGGAAGATTCATCCAGAATTAATGGATCACCAAAATGGGAATGCACTTCCTAAAAAAGGTGAGCATCATACGGTAACACAAAAAATGAATCAACAGGGACCACTAATGATTTTGTCGAGTGGAAAATGGTAGGCAATATCGATGGCAATGGTAAGGAACACTGGAAAGAGGTTAGAGATAATCACAATAGGAAGACTGTTTATCAGAAGGAAGCTCAAGGAACTACTGGAAAAGAGTTAATTCAGGTTAATCAAAATCAAGGGCAACAAGTGTAGGTTGGGAATAAATTTTCAATATTGGAAATTGATGAAGTTGGGAAAGAGTATAATAATGTTGTACAATAGATTAGCTGTAATGATAACACTATGGTGGTGCAGAAGAAAGGTGGAAACCAGGAGACTAATAATGGTGGTGATGGATACATGCAACTGGCTTTGGTGAACAAATCAGGGGAGGAGTTTAGTTCAAGACAAATTGCTAATAATTCTAGAAGACTAAATCCAACAACATTGGAGTTTATTCCTACTGAAAATGAGAATAGCTTAGTGAAAAATAGGAAGACACCTAGCCCTGAGAAGTCTAGAGATGTTATAGCAGTAACAGAACAAAGGGGATCAACTGCTCAATGGGTTAATACGACTTTTGTCCATGCAAATCCAGTACAAAACAAGGAGGAGAATGCAAACAATGTGAATAAGAAGCAATATGAAGCATATTTGCCTCAACTGGTTACTACAAACCAATCACGCCAACAAGTGCCATCACAATCTCTAGCTACTGGGAACATAGAGCTAGGTCGTTTGTGGAATAATCAAAAAGAGTATGAGTTAGAAGAGGAAGGAGAATATCACACTGAGGAGGAACATGTAATTGCAGATGATAATCAGTCATGTGGACAAGATCTTGGGAATATGGTGAAAAGGGTAGATGATAAAGATCAAAACAATGCAGACAAACCAGTGGAGCTAGTTATAGGAGAGAGTTCTATACAAGTCTTTGAACCCAATCAAAAACCAAGCCCTAAACCATCATATAAACCCCAACCAGAAATCAATCATAACTGCAGCTCCATTGTGCCAAATCCAGTGTCAGATAACTCTAACCTACAGACCAAAATTGCTAACATTGCACCAAAAACAAGCTCTCCTCTGTAGCTTCAGCAGTCCAAAAAACGGCTACTGAAATTTCTACATTAATTCCCAAAACTGTGAAGACTCATCTGGTCAAGGAAAACAAGAATGAAGATCAGGTCAATAATGAAGAAATTCATGGCCAAGATATGGATGAGGAATCTACTACACAAAACTTCAAGCACATATCAAGATAAGGTGATTTGTCTCCTAGAGTAATGGATAAAGTGAAATCAGCTGACAGAGGGAAAAAAGCAACACAAAGAAAACACTAGTATCCCGGGTACTGATGTTCAAACAAGAACGGCAGGTTCTAAATCAGTTGTTTAATGATGAATGCATTAATATGGAACATTAGATTAGTAAACACACAACAAGCCTTTGAATGACTCATTACAATGCACATACAGTACAAATACAGATTTGCTGCATTAATGGAGCCAAAGCAACAGTCGAGGTAGCTTGAAAGATATAGGAGCAGACTTGGTTTAGCACAATCAACATCTCTAATAAGATATAGGCTTTTATAGATGATGGTTTTGAGGTTATGGTTCTGTTTGACATGCAACAACAACTTACCCTGAAAATAACTAACAATAGTACTCAACAAGAAATTATCCTTACTTTAGTATATGCCAAATGCGAGCACATTGAGCGTATAGAATTATGGGACACGCTGTATGCTCTGGCAAGTGACATGACTAAACCATGGATAGTTGGTGGGGACTTCAATGTAATATGGGATGAGGAGGAGAAATTTGGTGGATTACCGGTACCACTAAATGAAGTGGACGACTTTGGGCAATGTATTAACACATTCAACCTCAATGATCTTGGATTCAAGGGAAGCATATTCACATGGTGGAATGGTCGGGGTGAAGAGGACAGTATCTTTACACGATTGGATCGAGTTTTGGGCAACATGGAATTGCAGCAACTGTTCCCGGGGTTGGAGGTGACTCATTTATCTAAAAACTGGTTCAGATCACTCCCCTTTATTAATAAATTGCGATCCAAACCAATTGCCAATAAAAAAATAATTTAGATTCCTGAAGTTTTGGACTGAACACAGTACCTTCCAAGAGGTTGTAACAGAGAATTGGGTGGATGACTCCTTGGCAGGCTATCAAGGTAGTACTTTCACAATTTTTAACAATAAATTGAAGAAGCTTAAAAGGGCTTTATCTCTTTGGAGTAAGGCTACTTTTGGGGATATTTTTCAAAAGGTTGCAAGTTTAGAAGAGGTAGTACTGGTACATGAAGCACAATTGGAACTGAATCCAACAAGAATGAACAGAGAGAGGCTCAATAAGGTTCAAACAGAACTTATTAGATATCTAGCTCTAGAAGAACATTTTTGGAAGCAGAAGGCAGGCATGGCATGGTTTAAAGATGGGGATCGCAATACTAAATTCTTTCATGCTCAAGTGAACAGGAGAAGAAAAAGACTACAGTTAAAGAAAATTCAAAACAGTGCAGGCAGCTGGATAGAAGGAAATGAGCAGATGGCTGAAGAAGCAATCAATTTCTTTCAATATCAGTTCCATGAAGATGTGGTGCCAACCTCATTTGAGATCATAGTTCATGTCCCAAATATGATTTCGGTGGAACAGAATCAGGAATTACTGAAGCAGCCTACGAAAGAAGAAGTGCAATAGGCTGTATTTTGATTAAATGCGGATAGTGCTGGGTGTCCTGATGGCTTCACAGGGAAATTCTTTCATCATTGCTGGAATATAATGGGAGATGATGTGTTTGCTATGGTTAAGGAGTTCTTCAATGGTAAGGAATTACCTAAGTATATCACACATACCAACTTAGTGTTGTTGCCAAAGAAGAAGGATGTGATCACTTTCTCAGATATGCGACCAATAAGCCTTAGCAATTTTATTAATAAGGTGGTCTTGAGAGTCATTCATGAAAGAATTGCACCACTACTACCGTCTTTAATTTCTGATGAGCAAGCAGGTTTCGTCAAAGGTAGGAGCATTGTGAAAAATGTTTTGTTGACCCAAGAAATAATAACAGACATAAGGCAGAGGACCAAAGCAGGGCCAAATGTTGTGCTCAAGTTGGACATGACAAAAACCTATGATAGGCTGTCTTGGCTATTCATGACTAAAGTTCTGAGGAAAATGGGCTTCTCTGAAAGATTTATTGGAATTGTGTTTGGAATTGTTGGTAATAACTGGTATTCTATTTTAATGAATGGAGAGCCCTATGGTTTTTTTAAATAAACAAGAGGAGTTAAGCAAGGTGATCCGCTATCACCTACCTTATTTATTCTATCTGTTGAAGCTTTATAAAGAGGTCTCAATGCTTTACATCAGAACTTGTATTTCTGTGGGTTTGGACCGCCAAAATGGATCCCCAAGATTAATCATCTTGCATATGCAGACGATACTATCATCTTCTCTTCTTCTGATGCTACTTCATTAAGGTTGATTATGGAGGTGCTAATGGCATATGAGTTTGCTTCTGGACAACTTATCAATAAGGTAAAATCTGCAGTATACATGCATCATTTAACAGATATGGAGGTTGTAAACAAAGTGCAGAGGATAACAGGTATAAGCAGGCAGGACTTCCCTTTCACCTACCTTGGGTGCCCCATATTCTATGCTAGGAGGAAGATGGAATTTTATCAAGATGTTATGAAAAAGGTCTTGGATAAGTTGCAATCATGGCAAGGGAAATTGTTATCAATTGGAGGTCGGGCAGTTTAATTACTCATGTTCTTCAAGGAATGCCTATTCATCTACTTTCAGCAGTGAATCCACCATTTTGTGTCATCAATAAGCTCCACAAAATGTTTGCTCAGTTTTTCTAGAGCAATTCTATAGGAGGAAAGGCAAGGCATTGGGCATCCTGAGACACCTTGTGCTTACCTAAAGAAGAAGGAGGGGCTGGATTTCGATCACTACACGATGTGTCAAGGGCCTTATTTTGCAAGCTATGGTGGAATTTTAGAACAAAACCAACTCTTTGGAGTTCATTTGTGAGCCAAAAATATTGTAAAAAGATGAATTCAATGGTGGTACCATGGAGAAATGGTTCTCATATTTGGAGGAAATTGCTTGAGTGTAGGGATACTATTGAGCAAAAAATCATCTGACAAACAAGAATGGAGTCATCACTTTTTTGGTTTGAAAATTGGACAGGGTTGGGTGGATTGTATTTCACAACTCCCCCAGATTTCTGCTGTGACGAGTCAATCTATAATGTTTGTGATGTAGTACTGAAAGATGCATGGGATAAAACCAGATTAATGCAGATATTGCCTCAGGACCTAGCCACTCACATTATTGATAATATCAAACCTCCAACACTTTCTGATGAATTAGATAAACCTTTCTGGATGATGGAACCAAAAGGCAACTTCACCTTAAAATCAACTTGGGATTATGTGAGAAGGAGAAGGGATCATAATGATGTGTTCACAAATATTTGGGTCAACGGATTGCCTTTCAAGATTACCTTTTTATGTGGAAAGTTTGGAAGGGCAGGATTCCTCTAGATGATTTCTTCAAGAGATTGGGTTATTTTTTACCCTCCAGATGCTGGTGCTGCAGAGAACCTGACGAACAGACTATGTCACATGTATTTTTCAAGTCATTTGCAGCACACACAGTGTGGTATTACTTCATGGCAAACGCAGGAATCTTAATAAATGGTTTGACATTGAAGCAGGCAATAGTCAAATGTTGGACAGTGCAAGTTGTAACTCGACTAAAGCCTATTTTCCATGCTTTGCCTTCGATCATTTTGTGGGAGTTGTGGAAGAGAAGAAACTATTAAAAATATTGAGAAGTGGTCACTATTAGTAGGGTTATATACCAGGTTTCTACAACTCTTCAATCTCTAGTTAAACTCAAAAAACCAAACATAAATCATGTCCCTCATAAGTGGCATGACCTTCTGAAAATGATGGAACAATACATTCCCAAACTAAAGGTCACTAGGGTTCTGTGGGGGATGCCTGAACAGGATTGGATAAAGGTGAATACAGACGGGGCATCAAGAGGAAATTCAGGTAGAAGCTCCATTGGTTTTGTCCTAAGGGATAGTGAGGGTGATGTGATATATGCAAGAGGGAAAGAAATTCAAAAAGGGACAAATGTAGAAGCTGAAGCTATTGCTATTCTTGAGGTAATAAAGGAATGTGTGCAGCAAGGATATGTCAATATTCACATCCAAACATATTCTCTACTAATGAACAATGTGGTAGATGGAATTTGGGATATACCTTGGTCAATAGAGAAATATGTTCAGGAGATTAAACTGTACATGAGTAGGTGTAATTACAGATTGTCACGTATCATGAGAGAAGGGAATAAATTGGCTGATTTCCTAGCAAATCATGCACTTGACTATGGAGATAATGAGGCTCACAATTTTCAGTAACTGGAGATACAAGGGAGGAGGATTGTTAATAGTGATAAGCTTTAATGTCCTTACCTATGTATTAGAGTAGACAGAAGAGGATAAGGGAGTATATGAGTAACATAAGAATGAGTAAGGGATCAAGGAACGAAGGACCAGGGTCACACAACCTTCATGGTCAAATTGAGGATAAGAAGATCTCTTTTACAGCTAACTATTTTCTTTGTTTTGCAGGGACATGGTATACATTAAGGACCTACATTCCAGGAAATTTTCTTGTGGAGGTAGTACCTAGTACTCACTCTAAAGCAAGGGGAATCGAAAAAGGCTCAATATCAAGAGCAAAAAGAAGATCAATACAGTGCAAGCTCGTGCATTACAAGGTCAGAAAGTTAGGCAAAAGTGTGCACATCTGGAGAATTAATAATAAACATGAGGAAAGAATTGAGGAACCAGACTCGATAAAAGCAAAAAGGACCCAGGCGTGGTTGCAATTTCCAAGGTTTGTGGGTGACATTTTGGATTTGCTTATTGAGATACTAAATATTGGAACTTTGGGAGTATTTTTCTGTACACCTATGGAATGGGGTCAAGCATGCAAATTTTAGACTTCCAGTCGCCATTTGTACCAAACATTGGCATCAACAAAGCATAGCTCGAGGTGCTGGCCAGTGTGTTCAACAACGATAAACATCTTACAAGTGAAGCCCATACATTACTTCTGGGCGAGCCATAATAACAAGGAAATATGTGACAAAGCAGAAATTATCCACATTTTGAAAGGGACCTTTAATTTCACTACTGTGGTTGTGTATCACTTCATGAGGAGCTTGCAATTAGTGGTATTAGTACTATGTACTCAATCCAGTGCGAGTGAATCATGGGTGAGCAGAACTACAGTAGCATCAACAGGAAGGGGTAAACACAAGTCCAAGACGAGTCTATACTTTCATGAATGCACCAGGTTTTGGCCAAAGATTTCTGGGCAATGCAAATGCATTGGGAACAAAATGCAGCCTCACAGTACATTAGACCAAGCATCAAATCACATAATGAGCCCAGTCAACAACATAGGAATTAAACTCAAAATGGAGGTCATGCAATCCATGATGGAGCAAAGTTGGAATGGGCAATTCACAACAAAATTTTGCCAAGGATTTTCGGATAAACATAGCAAACAAGGGACTAGAACAACTATACCACGGAAATGTTGTGGCATTTGGACAACAACAATGAAAAGGAATTATCAAGAAAAGGAAAGCACCACCACCAATGTAGAGGCAATAATGAAGTTTCACAAGAACATTAATCATTTTGTGATATCAATGTTGAGCTCATTACTCAATATTGGTACTAGGTTTATTGTAATTTTCAAGTATTATCACTTTTATAGCCTAAGACCACCTGACAATGTATTTTGTTTTTTTGTACGATTTTCTTTATATATATAAAATCTAGCCCTAGGTGATTGCCTGGCGGATTGGTCAAAAACAAAATCACATATATACGAGTTATGAAGTCAAAAATATTACCTCCAAGTGATTCCCCGTTGGTTCCCTCAAAAGCTTCAATCCCGTTCAAAAATGGTGGAAAAATGAAGAAGGGTCGCGAATGGGCTATTTAAATACTACCCAGATATTCCTTCTTCGCAAACTTGGAAGGCCCCTCGCGTTCGCGAAGCACAGTTTCACTTGGGCCCAGATTTCTTCATTGCGAATGCGATGCCCAGGTCGCGAATGCGATTCAAAACTTCCTCTTCCTACGTGAACGTGAGAAGACCATCGCGAACGCGTAGGTATAGAACTCCCAGCTTCATGAACGTGGGAGACACTTCGCGAATGCGAAGCATAAATTCCTCACCAGCCCTATATCCTTTTTGCGAATGCGAGACCCCACTCATGAACGCGAAGAAGGAAACCAGAACTGATTGCTGCAACATTTTCTGCAATTTCCTAAGTTCCAAAAATGACCCGTTGAGCATCCAAAACACACCCGAGGCCCTCGGGACCTCAACCAAACCTACAAACATATCCCATAACATCATTCAAAGTTGTTCCAACCTTCGTAACGCTCAAAACAATATCAAAACACCAAATTAGCATCGGATTCAAGCCTAAGTACTTCAAAAACGCTCAAAATACGCTTTCGATCAAAAAGTCTATCCAACCTCGTTCGAATGACCTAAACTTTTGTAGACACGTCACATTCAACACTATAGAGCTACTACAACTTCCGGAATACCATTCCAACCCTTAGATCAAAATCTCACTATCGA